CGTTCTTTGTCTGAAAACTCTTCGCGTTTCTAGTCAAAAAGGGGCAGCTGACATGTGATTTTTGACCCTCCCCAAGATGTTTTATATTATAGCATGTAAATATTTAATTTAGGCCTAAGATCGTTTTTTCAACTAATTTTGACTCTTTTACTTTATTTTATTACAAGAAAATAAAAATTACAAAAATAGTTTCATTAATGTTTTGTAGTCATTTTTAATCTCGAAAAATACCAAAAATAGTTTTTGTTTTAATGGTCAGTCTTATTTTAATAGTTATTTTACTTAAATAGGATTAATTAATAAATGGGATCGCATTTTAATCTCGTTCGCGGGGAAATGATAAAACATGGGCTCAAGCAACCCATTTTTAGGCCTAATTTTTGGACCTTGCCCATAATTCCTAGGCTCATACCCCTAACCTAAATATAATCCTAAAACCCTAAAACTATAAAAGGAAGCTAACAACTAACGCCTATCATCAGCTGAAAATGGACAAAACCTAAAGACCAAAAAGCTTCCCTAGAGAAAAAGGCTATCTGCCGTTTCCATCACAACAGCCACCGCCGGAACTCCATTAACACTACCAACCACACCCGTTCTGCCATGAAAACTGACCAAAGCTCACCTTCTCACTTAACCTTCCTGTAGACTACTCTCAAACCAACTAAAAAAGGAACTCAAACACACAGATCCATTAGCCCATCGTCCTTATATATTGATTGGTTTATACGACTTTTGATTAGTTTCGAATTGTTCGGCGTCGTTTGGGATTTCTAGTGAGGTTAAGAGCCAGATAGTGAACTTGGAAGTGAAGTAAGTCTCTTTCCTAGTCTTGTAGGGGGAATTATCCCCTTAGGTGAATTAATTATAGTGGTTTACTTGTTGTGGGAGTTATGCACGCACGAGGTGACGAGAGTCCGTACGTAGCTATATTCATGTTATGTTCGGGTAGACTTAGCTTCACATCATGCCTTAAACATGTTATTTGTATTCACCTTGTATATTGATTTTTCTTAATTTATGTGTTACACCCCATATTTTTGTACATGAAAGTACGCCATAAATAAATTAGTGATAGCTCGGAAGTGAGATGTTACGTCCCGCATTTTTGTACGTTGATGTTTCGTCGTAAGTTAATCGACGTAAGCTTGGGAATGAGATTACTTTGGAATTCTAAGTATTATGTTATTTCAAACAAGGGATAAGTAAATTCGTGAAGGTGAAAGGGAAAACAAATCGAAGAAAACGAGTTTTGTCGAAGTTTGTCAATTTGGAATAAAACACGGTCTGAGCTATAATACCCGATATTTATGGACTAGTACCATACAAGGTACCACATGGCCATGATAATATGATGTATAAAGTGTATTAAAAAGGATTAGTATTTTAAGTAAATTGAGACAATTTTTAATTATATGGGTAATTGATTAATTATTGGTTTAATGGGATAATTAAGGATTTGTGAATAATTGTAGGTGGGGACAAATCCCCCTCCACGTGGCAGTAGATGAAGGAACACTTAAGTGACTTGTCTTTAGACAAGCTAACTAGTGGGAACATGAACAACAAATCTTAAGGAATTGTTACACGTAAGAAGCGATTATCTTAGCATTCTCCATCTTGTCTTTCAAGGCTATCCAATTCATTTTATAACAAGGAAATATAATGAAAGGAACGACAAGGAACAAAGTAAGGGAATTCTTGAAGTTAATATGAGACTTTTCGTTACATTACCGACAACAATTCTTAAATTTACAATGAAATTCATACAAGACTTCTCAGCGTAGTAGCAACGGAATTTTACGATTCTAAGGGAGCACGGTATAATTTTTCTCAAGAATATCATATAGATTTTTACCTACTTCAATCCGCTGTTACGTGTTATTGCAATCAATGAGTGTTAAAGGAATTTTCAAGAGAATCGATTCAAGTATATTAGGGCTATCCATTCTTTCTTTTGTCACGATCCATACGATGCAAACGAAACGTGCAAATGCACAACTTCCATAAATGACTCTATCATAGAAATGCTAGAGATGCTTATATTCTTGATTCTCTATGTGTCATATTATTCTATCGTCTGTTCATGGGTCTTAGAAAAATACGTAAGTTAAAAAAGTTTACTTCATGATATTATTCAAAGTCATAATGGTCTTATGACACTCCAAAAGATTTTATTGACGTACTTCTCATGCATTGCATACATGTACATTGACCCATGACTAGATGATGTTATATACGCGTATATATGTATATTATATGTATATGGGATATGGGAAAAGGTTACGACGTTATATACGCACCACCACCTGATTAGCTGGTATACGTTGATGATTTGCTCACAGTGGCCGAGATGATATGATGGGATACTCTCAGAGGCTTGATGATGTTATGAACACATATACCCATGCACGGTATGACATTTATACGTATACGCATGACATTATAAAAATGAAATGATTTACAGAGCATTGCAAACGTATATGTCGAGTCTTTTACTCCATGTCTCTCTCATGTCTATTATTTACTGATTTCCATTCCTTACATACTCGATATATTATTTGTGTTGACGTCCCTTTTGCTTGGGGACGCTGCGTTTCATGCCCGCATATCCCGATAGACAGGTCGAGAGCCCTCCAAGTTGGCTATCAGCTCAGCGGAAGATGTTGGTGCGCTCCATTTGCTTTGGAGTTGCTTGTTTGGTTAGTATGATTTAGATGTGTATTCCTAGAGACTTGTAGACAAATATCATGTACGTAAAAGTTTATATGGCCTTGTCAGCCTATGTTCAGTATACGAGTAGTTATTTTGGCATTATAGGCCCGTACGTCATATGTATAAGTTTGGATTACATGTTGGATCGTCCAATGTCGAGAATTTCTCCATATTTTATTGTACTTATCTCATGACAGCCTCTCTGGATCATTTACCTATGATAGTATAAAACGAAAGATACGTTACATAGGTACTCGGTTGAGTAAGGTACCAGGTGCCCGTTGCGGCCCATCGGTTTGGGTAATGACATTATGACTGGATTTGAGGTTAGAACAAAATATTGAGTGAGTCTCTTACTTTGGAAAATTATGGGATAATTGTTGTACAATAAAACCATGTTTTCTCAACTCAGCATGTATCTTTATGAGTGAAATTGTTCTCCATTGTAACGGGGATCGGGCCATTCGCCTCGGCAGTATGGTAACACTTCTCTTATGGGATCAGATTGTTTGCCTCGACAGTATTGTGTATCACTATTCCTATGGAATCGGACTGGATGCCTCGGCGGACTCGTGCTTAATACTTGAGATTGGATTTGGTTTTAATATCAGCTGAGTTCGCGCCTTCGAGGTCGGTTATGACATTTTAGTGACTTTATATAGATTCATGTTGGAAATTTACTATTAATGTTTCATCTGTTTCGTTGCTACTTGTTGTACATCCTCCATGTCTATTTTATGTATGTTATTATCGTTGACCACAAGTAAGTGTCAAGTCGACCCCTCATCACTACTTTTCCGAGGTTAGACTAGATGTTTACTGGGTACGTGTTATTTTAAGTACTCACGCTACACTTCTGCACTGATTGTGCAGGTACTGAGACAGGTACTTCCAGTGGTCACACGGACACGTAAACGCACTTCCATGGAGACTTAGTGGTGAGCTGTTTGCCTTGCTTTGATCTGCAACACCAGAGTCTCCCTCTATCTAATTTACTGTTTTTACTTCAGACAGTAGTTGTAATAGTTTTGTATATTCCCTATATTGCTCATGCACTTGTGACACCGGGTTTTGGGGGCTACTAGCGTTTATGCACCATTGCACTTATTATTACTATCATCGTGGTTTATGTATTATTCACACTCGATATTTTTGGGAAAGAAGTATGTACGGCTCCATGAGATTTTACTTTTATTCGGTATATTTAAGGAAATTGTTGTTTTAAAAGTTCAAAAATTTAATTAAATTGGAGATTCACGTATGGGCTTGCCTAACGGCGGCGGTAAGCGCCACCGCAACCTATTATAGGCTTTGGGTCGTGACAATTCCAAACAAAACGTGGAGTAAATAATGACATAAAGTATAGCATGTTAGCTTCGCATCAAAATGCGATTGACGCATTAAGACATGTTACGGATGAAGGTAAAAATCTCAGTGATACATTGAAAACCAATTACTTTATTTCTATGTAATTATTTTCTCTATTTGATTGTCATAAACTATGGTAGCCAGTAGCCACTGAGCTCCCTATCAATGTAAATATAATGTTACCACTAATTTGGAACCAGCTCAAGTAGAAAAAACTATAAAGTCTTAAATTGGAGAAGGGAACTTGATCCGCATTAGTATGACTGATCCATCTTTAATTCTTTCTCACACAGTTCTTTTTTTCCTGGGAAAAAAAACTTATCTTGGAATCATCAATTTACCTGCCTTAAGCCCATCGTTAACGCCCTAATCTAGGAATTCACTTTCTTAATTTCCACTTCAGTAACACGTTAATCATTGTAGTAAAATAGTAGAACTTTCTTCTCGATGATAATCACTCAAGTTTTTCACTCTAATGCAAGTCCAAATTCCATAGATTCGATTTCTTTTTCTTTCTACAACTAATCAATTTGATTTCAAAAGTTAGAACTTGTCACATGAGGAGGAAAGCCAAGGAAGCGATTTCCGTGTTTGCCTTTTCTGGGCTTTTTTCGTGCACTGATACACATTCCTTAATTTCTCATCCCAAATATACCGTGACCACTTTCTTTCATTTGTGTTTCTATTTTTCCTTCTTCATAGGAAATTAATGCTCAACAACAAAACGCTTGGTATATGTTTTACCATATTGTGACGTTGATATGTGCATAACTGCCTACACTAATCTCACCTTGCATAGACCACCACGTCATTTAATGCGAAAGACAGGTGAACATTAACACGCAGCATGAGTTTGTTCAGATGGCAAAGTTCTTACGTCTAAAGAATTTCCTCCAAACTGAACCAAATCAAGGATAGAGTTTGTTGAAAGACATCAAAAGGATAGCTGTCTATAACTGATATACTCGCCCTTTATTTAGACAAAAATAATATGGGTTAAAAAAAGGACATTATATAACAATATAACCCGACAAATCTACAACATCGACTCAATGCTTCCTAACTGGAAATTACCACTGATTATGTTGACCCCGGAGAAAAAAGAATTAGTACAAATTGTTTTACACAGCAACGGGGGCGTCTGCTTCATCAAGAGCAATGACACCGGGGAGCACCTTGCCTTCCAGTAGCTCCAAACTGGCACCACCACCAGTGGATATGTGGCTCATCACGCTAGCAACTCCAACTTTCTCAACAGCTGCAACAGAATCTCCACCTCCAATGATAGTCGTCACTCCTTTCCCACTTAAGTCTGCAAGCTTCTNCGCGAGCTTCTTTGCAATTGCCTATCACCACAACAACAGTCTTATTACTATTTACTCTCAGGTAAACACACAAAGTGACATATCAAACCAGATTATTCCTCTTCCTTTACTTTTAAAGCCATGTAAAACCAGCTTTATTCCCTTTTTTATTTCTTTTATACAGCTCAGCATACGGTAAGATAAAAAAAATATGAAGAGAAGAATGGTAATTGGTACCTCTGTTCCAACAGCAAACTTGTCAAATTCAAACACCCCCATAGGTCCATTCCAGATCACTGTTTTTGTGGTATCCAAGGCATCGTTGAAAGTCTTAACAGAGTCTGGTCCAATGTCCAACCCCATCCAACCGTCTGGGATAGCAGATGCAGGCACAATCTGCAGTAACCAAAACAAATTTGTATTTACAACACAATCCATAAGTAACAAACTCTGATACTAAGAGCAAATTACAGTACAGATTCAAGATGGAAAGTCTAAAGAATCTCAATAGCAAAAAGCTCTAAGGTCAGATAGGTTTATATGAGAAAAGCATAGCATGCAAACCTTGCTGTTTGCATCAGGAGCAAATTTATCTGCAATCACAACATCAGATGGTAACAAGAGACTGACTCCTTTCGCCTTGGCCTTCTCTAGGAGTGATGTAGCGAGTTCTAGTTTGTCTTCCTCAACCAAGGAGGAACCAACTGAAAGACCCTGAGCCTTGTAGAAGGTAAAGATCATTCCTCCACCCAAAAGCAATATATCACATTTCTCTAAAAGTGATTCGATCACTCCAATCTTGGATGAAACCTTTGAACCACCCACAATAGCAGCAAATGGCCTCTTTGGATTTGAAACCGCCCCGACTAAATAGTCCAATTCCTGAAACAAATAAAAGAACAATTAATACAAATAAATTTTCTAAAGAGTGCAATTTTCCGTATATGGTTTTATGCCCATCAGTTTGTCAAAGAAAACAATAAGTAAGGAAGCGGGAGCGGAGCTAGAAGCCCAAGTATGGATTCGGCCAAACCTAGTAGCTTTTGCTCAAACCATGCTAAAAGAAATTATTAAATATGTACAAATATTAAATTTAGAACCCAGTTATTAGCACTTGAAGTCATTGTTCTAAATTTCAGAACCCATAAAGTTGAAATTCTAGCTCTGCCTCTGTAAGGAAGTAACAATCAAGTAAGCTAACCTTTTGTAAGAGGAAACCTGCAACAGAAGGCTTCAAAAATTTAGTAACTCCCTCTGTAGAGGCATGTGCTCTGTGAGCTGTACCGAATGCATCATTCACGTAAAGATCTGCCAATGATGCAAGTTTCTTTGCAAACTCAGGTTCGTTCTTCTCTTCCTCCTTGTAGAATCTTACGTTCTCGAGAAGAAGAACACCACCCTCGGGAAGTGAAGCAACCAACTTCTCAACTTCTGGACCAATGCAGTCCTCAGCCTTCACAACCTATTGGTAAAGCATACAAGAGTCAATAGCAAAATAAGGTAGATGACTATCTACCCTTTGATCGACATGAACTATTTCTTTTGCTTTAATTCTTTCTTTCTATCTTCTTTTTGAACAATGAATAGCACTAAAATTGCAACAGGCTGTACCTGGATTCCAAGCAGTTCGGATAGCCTGGGGACCAGTGGTGCCAAGCTGTATTTAGGAGTGACTCCTTTTGGCCGTCCCTGAAATTTCAATAAGCAAAATAAACTAAGATTTGACATATCCTTAACACTTTAACAAAATGCGGAAGAAGAGAAAGCAAATACGAGGGCAATATTGAAGGCACATTACAGTGACTTGTAAAAAGCTACTCCCTCCGTTCCAGTTTATGTGAACCTATTTTCTTTTTGGTCCGTTCCAAAAAGAACGACACCTTTCTGAATTTGGAAACAATTTTGCTAAAACTTCCAATTTTATCCTTAATGAGATCACACAAATAATCTAGACCCCTTTTTGACTTTAGGAACACAAATTCCAAAAGTATTTATTTTTTCTTAAACTCCGTGACCAATTCAAAAAGTTCACGAAAATTGTTGGAACGGAGGGAGTATCAGAATTTCATAGTTCTAAATAGACTAATCAATCATCCATAGACACGCAATTTAATTTCCTATGATATTGTCAGCCAGTAAATAAGAGTTCCACTCTGTTACTGCGATTAAAAAAAGAAAAGAAAAGGCACAACAAAGATCCACTGGGAAAGGGGCAAAATAAAAAAGGGGGAGATCGTAGATATGCAATTAAAATTCTAGGAAAAAAGGACAGATGAAGAGAAGAAAGTGGTACAGACCAGGTGACTGGAGAGAATAACTTTAGCACCATTGGCCATCAAGTGCTTGATAGTAGGGACGGCAGCTCTAATTCTAGTGTCATCAGTAATGTTCTGGTTATCATCAAGTGGGACATTCAAATCGGCCCTGACGAAGACTTTCTTGCCCTTCAACTCGGCAGCGGTGAGGTCTCCAACGCTCTTCTTGGCCATAGAAGCAACGCCCCTAATAGGCTTGGAGGAGCTCTTGAGGGATCGGAGCTTGGTAGCCACGTGGTTGGTGAAGAGAGAATCAGCGGCGGCGCCAGCGAAGCCGAGGCGGCGGAGAGGAGTTTTGGCGAGGAAGCGAGCAGATGAAGGGGCAATAGCCTTGTTGGTAGTAGAGGATGAGGTGGCGGGGATGCCGCACAAAGTGTGGGAAGCTGTAGCTGATGCCATTGTTTACACTCTTCTCTTCTCGGTTCTGTCTTACGGCAAAAAGCAGAGAGTGTGAAGACAGAGTGAAGAGATGTCAGATGTGTGTTGACAAGGAAATAAAAGGGAGTTGAGTGGATTTTTCTTATCGTTGAGTTGAGGTTGAGGTTCAACGATGATTTCCAGGGTACTCTTTTTTAGTATTTGTTTGGCCCAAACATATCTTCACTCATTGGCCTTTCATTTTCTTCCTACCACAAAATCTCAAGTACTAACATTTTACCTCTTTAAATTCAACTATGAATGGGATCGATGATAAACATTCATTGTGTTAATCTCAAGTTCAACCTCTCTTTTGAAAATAGGCTACGAGTTCCAAAGAATTGAAAATAATAGAAAATGAAAAAATCCGTATTAAGTACGACGTATTAGGAGCCAAGTACAAAAGGCATTTGATGCACACTAATAGCCTCTTTGGCCAAGCTTTTTTGGGCCAAAATTATTTTTTTGGTTAAAAGGGAAAAAGTGCTTTTAAGGAAAAGCAGAAGCAGTTTTCGAGAAGCAAAAAAAAAAACAGTTTCTCTCCAAAAATATTCTTTTTAAAAACACTTGTGAGAAAAATACACTTCGAAACAGTTTTTAAAGGCTTGGTCAAACACTAATTGTTGCTCAAAAGTGCTTTTCAAATTAATTAGTCAAATACAAATTGTTTCTCACCAAAAATACTTTTGAAAAAAAAAACACTTTTAAAAATTAGCTGAAATTGTGTAGCTCATGCTATAAGGCATTAGTTGCACATTGAGTCAACTCTTCTTCTTTTTTTGCGTATAATTAATTGTTGGCGAAATGGAATCCTCGCCACTTAAACTTGCATCAGTTTGTAAAGCCGATATATGAACTCTTGGGTTTCCCATTTGAACACTTTTACTTGAGAAAATGGCTACTAATAAATACTTGTTATGGTGTGTGTTGTTCAATTGTTGCTGATATGTATTTTATTTAATATTTTGTATAGCCACATCATCCATTCATTAACATTTTGTTGACACCTAGACGTTCAATGTCTCACTTCTTCTTTTTTTCTTCTTTTTTTATTAAATTAATTTTTTCTATACATATCCCTTCCACTCCCTCAGGACCCGCCGGAAAAAACCTTACCGAACTAGGAATCAATTTGAAAAACTTTAGATTTTATCATTGATAACGGCTCCGGTGATTCTCTGTTTTCTATCCCACCCAATACCTTTCACTTTCATTGTTTATCATCTTCTCACCATGAAAATATGAACCATTTGCAAAATCTTTTACCATAAAGAATTACAAGAAAAATATCAACAAAACTAAAAGACTAAAATTACCACCTTCCAAAGATCAAAAAGAAAAATCATGAAGTACTGAACAACTTTTACTATGATTGAAATCAGACCCAACTTTTTCGAACAAATCAACAAATAATTTCAACAAATCAAAGCAGCGACCATGATCGAAATCAGACCCATTTTTTCCCAACAAATCAGAAAATAATTTCAGCACGACATACATATATATATAGGTGTAATCAACGGAGCACGACGTACAACAATTCAAAGCCAAGTCAACAACCGTATGAAGCTCAACGTGGAAGGCAAGCTCTTTGAAACAACAGTATCAACACTTCGCTCTAGTGGACCCGATTCTCTCTTATCCGCCTTATCAAACCGGAATTCCGACGAACCAGAACAAATCAGAAAATAATTTCAGTACAACGTACATATATATTGGAGTGTGATTGATAGTGAAAAATTAAAGAATAAACAAATATGACAGTTTAATATGAAGCTTTGAAGTGTGATTTATCAAAATTTTTGTTATGGGCTTAATTGGGAATAAAGGAGGAAGAAGAGAAATGGAGGGATGAGGGATTACAGGGGTGGCGACAATGAGTGAAGAAAAGGAAGGGACAGGGGTAAGGGTACGGGGAGGAATAAATAGAGGTGGATCTTTTTTTCTTTTTTCTTTTAATAAAATTTTATCGTATCCATGCGCTTTATACCCGTGATTAACACACAATTGACCACATCAGCTTTAATATTGCCACATAAGCATAGTCAACGGTCAAAAGTGTTTATTACTATCCATTTTCGCAAGTAAAGGTGTTCAAATGGGAAACACAAAAGTTCATATATCGGCTTTACAAACTGATGCAAGTTTAAGTGGTCAGGAAGTCATTTCGCCTTAATTGTTTGTGGCTAAGATAAATGACAAAACAAAAGGAAATCATCCAATCAAAAAAAATCAAGCGGGATGAATAGTTAATAGGTTTAATTAATGAGTATCTAGTGTTGAATAAGGATTGAGGTAACTTTTTTAAAATGTAACTTGACTTTATTAGAACAAGACATCTAGAGACACTTAAAATTGACATAATTTTTCATTTAGACACTTAAATTTAAAGTTGTTTCAATTGAGCACTCATAGTACCCTAAACTTTTCCAATTAGACACTTCTTGCTGGGTTGGCACATAAAGTAAACTTCACCCAAAATACACGCGCGAAGAGCCCAAAAAACAGATTTTATCTTTATTTTTTCTTTTTATTTCTTTCTTCTTCTTCTTCTTCTTTTTCTCCACCATCACTTCCACCATTGTCTCTCCCAATTTCATCATTGTTGTGCCTCTACCATTAATTTAGCTCGAAAAGTTTGAACCAATAATCGTCTCAGTTGATTGAAACCGAAGTGAGACTGTATTCTTCGTTTGAAGTCAAAACACCATTAATGGAGCCTTTAAGAAAGCTTGAAGGTTTAAAATGGGTTACTTGATTTGATGGGGTTATCTTGAGTCTTCGTGGGAAATCTTTAGCTAAAGTTATAACAAATTTGGAGGACTTTCTCTTGAAATTTTGGATTAAAATTGTGGTTGGAACAAGAATACACATGAAGATAGTGAAGAACACCAAAAACAATGATTTCAAGAACACCAATATGCCCTTTTTGTCTTTTCTTTTGTTAATAATGTGTCATTTTCTGATTGAGTGTAAATTAAAGTTTTTTTTTTCTTTTTGAGAATGTTATTTTATTTTTTTTACTAAATAGATTTTAAAACAATTTTTTCTTTCTTTTTTTTAACTCAAAATGATGTATGTCCTTTTTTTATTTGCCATTCGCCACGTCAGCAGCGAGTGCATTGTACGCACTTTGTAAGTTTGGCTAATTGTCAAAAAAGTGCCTAATTGGAACAAGTTTAGGATAATATAAGTGCTCAATAGGAACACCATCAAGTTTAGGTGTCTAAATGAAAAATGATGTCAATTTAAGTGTCTCCGTATGTATTCAGCCTTAGAACAAACAAGTCGCTGAAAGCAATAAAGTTTAAGAAATGATTGAGAATTGTCTAGGAGGATTGGCAATCAATGATGAGCGGCCATCCTCAACCAACTTCACATATATCGCCTTCCAAGCCAATGCTTCAAAGTCTATTACATGCACACCAATCTCTCACCAGTGCAATCATCATCTTCATATCACATGTCTCCTATAAGTATAACATTCATAAATACTACTCTCTCCGGTCCATAATAAGTGACTAATTTGCTTTTGGTATACTCATTAAGAAATACTAAAATCTAAACAAAAATAGTTAGTGTAACTAAACTACCCTTAATTAAATATTGCAGCATAATTTAATATGAGGAGTAAAAGACTTTTGCGGATACATATATAAGGGTAATTTTAAAAAAATAAATTGAATTTTGTCTTGATTATATAAATGGACACTTATTTTGGACCAAAATAAAAAAGCAAATTGGTCACTTATTATGGATTGGAGGAAGTAAAATTTTAATATTTAATAGTTTAGATACCATGATTTATTTTGGGAGTTTGAAATATGAAGTTGGCCAAATACATATGCAGACACTTAAAGTTGCCAGAAAATCCCATTTAGACACTTGAACTTAGCTTTGTTCTAAATTGAATGCAATATTATGTCCATAACCATACCTATTAGGCACAACCAGCTGACTTGGCACATAACGTGGGGTGCACAACATTTGAGCGAGTGAATATAATTACACGTGGACTCTAACGGTAATATTTAAAAAAATAAATTAAATATATACCTATTTAGACCCACCCGATTTTATATAAACCCTAATTTCATTTCCTTTCGTTTAGTTTTGCCCCCATTGCTTCCAAATTAGGCCGAGAGACTTCTTCGTTTCTTTCCAATTTTTCTTTATTTCTTTGTAATTCTTCTGAATTTCTTTCTAATTCTGGCAAAGTATGAAGAAAGGCAAGCTTAATTCATAGTAATTTTGTTCTAATCTACATTTTAGTGATTCTTCTTAAATTCTCATCTTCCGTTCATTGGTTATATTTGTAGAAAAAGGGTGGATTCAATTACTTTACATGGTATGATGAAGACTTCTCTTCTCAAGAAAATAGGGTGATTTGTGGTTTGTTAAAAAAAGTCAAGATTTTGCAGAGGGATCGAGCAAGAAAAAAATGGACCATCATACTTCTTACAGATTTTTGGTGTTGATTTTATAGATATGGCTATGGCGCGATGCTTGATGTGTTTGTTCAAATTAGTGGCAGTAGTTGGTTGTTCATTTTGCTGGTTTGTATTAGTAGGGGTGATTGTATTGTCTGGTGTAATTTTGTTTAGAAGGAAGCTGCAGACTTGCTTCAATTAGTACAATGGCTGGCCTAGTACAAGGTTATGTAGTTTTGTTTGAATTAGTTCAAGGGCCGAGTTTGAATTTGTAAGTAAGAAATTTACTACCTTGTTAGTTCAACTACTGCCTTGTTAGTTCAACTGTTGCCTTATTTTTTCAATTGGACTTTGTATTCAATAACATACTTTGCCACAACCTTCCTAAATTCTACAACATTCTCAAATATCATCCCAACTTCAAATATAGTCACAACACAATCATCATCATACCTTAGCTTACTACTCTTTCTTCTAACATGTACATCAACACCCCTAACAACTTCAGGATCTAGTTCATCTCTACTATCATCACTATCTGCCTCTCAACTATCAATAAACTGCTCATCATTCCCTAACTTTCCTGTATATCTAGTAGCCTTGTTCCTTCCAATGTCTTCAAAGCCTTTATTAGTTCTAGCTTCTCCTAGAGGTATTTCATTCTTTGCAACAACTTTTTTTTTCTTTGGACCTTACTCTTTT